CAATGTGTTTTAAAGGATTCTCGTTGAATTTGTGTTTTCGGAATATGAAGCGAATCGATGCGGCGCATGAGTGCGGGCTAGAAAAAATAAGCAAATAAATCCGAGGTAACACAGGTGGCCACGATGATATATTTATGGTGATTTGAAGAAGGTTAAAGATTGGATTGAACTTTTTGAATTAGTTACAGTGTATTTTGAATTTATGGGAGTGTTTTATTTTATTTTTTTAATTCCCAAGACTGCAGCGAAGACACAGCTCAGCTCATAGAACACTATCACGTAATAAAGGATTGTATGGTACGTGACTTTCCGTGTTTTTGTTCGCAGCTGCCAATTGGAATTGGCGAAGAAAAATGGAAGGGAAAAAATCACGCCCGATATTGTTCACATATGAGTCAATCAATTTCGGTGTGCAAAGCAGGTAAAATTCCACGAAGGTTGACCCATTGGAGAAAATTAATTAACAGCAAATTAACTAATTTATTAACTGATCCAGTGTTCTAGAACTTTCACATGGACGTGGAGCATCTTTTCCCAGCGAGTTTGTTTGCCCTTCGATTCAAACAAACTTGTTATGGTCGCGCCTTCCATTATTTTGGAAAATGATTAATTAATTTATTCCTTTCGAAATGGGAGACACATATTTAAAGTGCGTCCCCATTGAAATGCGTGACATGTGGGCGACGAAAGTCTTGATTTTTTAATTCAAAATCATTGCTTCTATGATTTCAAGTGTGCCTAACTTGACATCTTTTCGTGTACCTTTTTGTAACAGTGGAGAATACGGTATTTCAAAAGTAGGATTTTTCCTGTACTCAACCATCAAATAGGTACTTCTCAAGGTAGTTTAAATTTTCAGTCTCTGTTTCGTCGGATTAAAAAAAAATTAAGGAAAATGGGAATTAAAAAAAAGTGCTCTGATGGGTTTTAACGATTTTTTTTTTCTTTTGAAATGTCGATTCAGGGAACTCCATGCCACCCAGTTTCAGCTTTATACGTTTCCCCTTTTTGCTTGAAAAAGATTTTGAAAAAAATGTATTTGGAAAAGCGACCCACCCAAAAACTGTGGTCTGAGGAGACGCTCAACAAAAGTTTGAATTTTTCTTTAAATCAACATCACGTAGGATATGAAAAATTCTTCAAAAACATCTTCCTTTGAAATTTGTGTCCCCGGGGCATTTGCTTCCAAAGTCTGAATTTTTATGCATGCAACATCCCAATTGGTAGTTATGTACCAAGTTTCATCTTTCCACACTAGCTCAATACGCCAGGACAAAAAAAAAATTACTTGAAAACGTCGGCCCCAAAAATATGCCCCCAAGGCATGGATCTAAAATTAAAAATTTTCCAGAACTCATCATCTCGGTAGGCCCGTCCATGCCAAGTTTAAGCTTTCCATGTCTCTCCGTTTTACTCAAGCAAAGGCTTCGTTACGGATGGAAATGAGTAACGGGATTTGGAAGGCATGAGAGGCCTTAAGAAAAGAACAGCCGGGAATTGAACCCGTGCCTCTTGATTGTCGGTGAGGTGTTCTACCACTTCACCATCGAACCCCGGACACGCAGTTAAGCCTCTCGATGCCATCCTCATCCGTCACAATATATATTTTAAAACTTCCCCCCCCCCCCAAAAAAAAATGTTTACCCCCTGGGCATGTACCTCCGAAGTCGGATTTTTTCGGAACTCTGTATCCGAGTACGTGCATGTGTACAAAGTTTCAGATTTCTAACCTTTCTAGAACATGGTTAGATTTAGCATCAGTCAGTCAGTCACCATTGTCTATATATATCGGTCGACTTCGTCCCAGCCGTTTCGGGGTTTCCACATTCGGGGTCAGCCTGGTCCGGTTGTCAAACGGCAGAGTAACGAGAGGCGTCCGGTTTGGTTCGTTCTGGACGGGGTCGGGTCTCAGTGGATGGACATGGGGAGAGACATACTCGAGATTCCCCTCGTTCGCGAAACGGTTCTGCGATGCGCCGAGGTTCATCGACCCCATGGGGTCGGCCTGATGGGTCTCGTGGAGAATATTTGGGAAGACTTGCCGGACGACATGACGGTGACCTTGGTCATCGTGGCCGTGCAGTTGGCGCTCTGCAGGTTGCTCTTCTCCATGGGGATCTTTCCGATCATGGCCTCTTCGGGCATTCGCTGGGCGAGATCGTGTCTGGCTTCGTGGACGGGTGTCTCACTTTAGAAGAGACGATCCTCGTGGCACACTGTCGGGTGAAGAGCCTGAAAATCGCCGAGATCGAACAGGGAGCCATGGCGTCGATCGGTCTCTCCCTGGAAGAGGCGCTGAAGATCTGCCCCCAAGGGGTGACGATCGGCTGTCACAACTCCATCGACAACGTCACCATCTCCGGATCCCCAGCCGGAGTGGAATCCACGGTGAAACGCTGCGAATCCTCTGGAATCTTCGCCAAGGGAGTTCCCAGCTTCGGCTACGCCTTCCACTCCCCCAGCATGGACAAAGCGGCTCCTCACCTGAGAGAGAGCCTGTCCCAGGTCATCGGGCAGCCCAAGAAGCGCAGTGCCAAGTGGGTCTCCACGTCGGTCTCTCGGGACGACCCAGTCGGAGAACACTGCTCTGCGGAATATCAGATCCGCAATTTCTGTTCCATGGTGAGATTCCAGGAAGCGATGATGAGGGTGCCCGAAAACGCGATCGTGATCGAGATCGGTCCCCACAGCATCCTCTTTCCTCTTCTCAAGCGATCTCTGTCCTCGAAGGCGACTCTGGTCGGCATCCAAAACAGGCGGGAAAAGGACAATTGCCTTTACCTGTTGAAGATGCTGGGCCAGCTGTACAACGAGGGCCTGGACATGGATCTGAACGCCATATATCGATTTCGATACCCGGTTCCCAGGGGAACGCCGATGCTCTCGCCACAGATCGTCTTGGACCATTCCCAGCAGTGGTTCGTGCCGTCCCCAGCTGCGAACGCGGGGCTGTCCTCGTCGGTCGTCGAAGTGGATCTGAGCAAGGAAGAGTTCGATCATCTGAAGTGGGTGAGATACGGCGGGGAACCGGTGATTCCACCGGAGGCCTTCCTGGTCATGGTCTGGGAGGCCCTGGCCAAGAGACTCGAATCTGACAAGTTCGAACTCGACGTGTCCTTCACGGACGTGCGATTCCACGGCGTGAAATTCTGCGGAGACGCCGTCGCGTTCGACCTGAACGTCGAGATCCTGTCGTCCTCGGGTCGCTGGGAAGTCTCCGAGGGAGGGCGATGCCTCGCCGAGGGGACCGTGCACATCACCGAGGGGACCGTGCACATCGCCAAGGGGACCGTGCACATCGAGGCCACGAAGAGAGCGAGGGCCCCCTGGGACCCCGACGAAATCTACCAGGAACTGAGTCTCAGGGGATGCGAATGCGCGGGGGCGTTTCGGTGCATGGAGGCGTTTTGGGGCCAGGGGGGGGTGGTGTCCTGGCAGCCGAGCTTGGTCCCTTTCCTTCATAACGTTTTTCAGACTCTCAATTTGACCAAGGTCAGAGGTCAAGAGGGGGTTTTGACCGGCTTCGGATGCCTTCGTGTCAGCCCCAAAGCCTTTCTGAAGGAGCAAGGTGATTTCCCGCCATTTCTTGCCGTTTCCAACCAATTTCTAATTAGAATTAAAATTTTTTTTTCTTCAATTAGCGGTTGAAATCCATGCGAAAGGAAACAGGATCTGGGGCAACTGCCTGGAATGGACGGAGATCCAGACCCAAGAAATTCCCAGGAAGCAATTCGACCCGATTCCGTTGTCGGCCCAAATCTTCACGCCTTTCCTCGACGACGACGAAACGTGAGAGAATCTTGCGGAAAATTCCTCCGAACCGACTCGGAACTTTTAAGGTTGCCGTTTCTCGCAGTTACGAAGAGAACGAGGGTCTGGAAATCTGCTTGAAGATCGTTCTCCAGCAATTCCCCCACGAAGAAACTCTGAGGATAGTTCACTTCACGGGAAAGGGCGAGGGCTCCGAGAGAATCAGAGCGTCTCTTCAGACCGGAACCGCGAAAAAGACGGTCGGTGCCATGATCATTAAAGCTATTAAATAAAAGCTAGTGTAACTCGTTTCATGGTTAAAAAAAAATAATAATAATCCGCTTCCTGCAGATCTCCCTCGCCGTCGTGACGGGCCACGCAGACGGTCTCAAGTCGCCGGACCATAGTCATCTGCAGATCTGGGAAGACATGGCTCATTTCGCTCAGTCGAGTTCGTACAAGTCGGATTTCGCCCTCGTTCGATTTGCCGACGGCGAAAATCCGCGATTCAAGCAGGATTCTCTGAGGCTGGTGGCCAAGAAGGTCGAGAGAACGAAATCGGGGAAAGTTTTCACTTGGGCTCTTCTGAAAGAAGTGAGTCGATTGCGTCGCGAGACCTTTCTCGACGCCATATTTGCCCTTATTTATTTATTTATATAAATTTGCAGGGTTCCGAAGGAGAAAATGCCGAAACCGTGGTGCCGGTCGACGCGGTTTCGGACTTCTCGTGGGTCGAATCCCTGCAGGACCTTTTGAAGGACGAGAAAAGGACGGGGGTGTGCCTGCAGTCCGAGAATCACCCTATCGGTCTGTTCGGCCTCGTCAATTCCCTCGGTCGGGAATTTCCCGCTGGCGGGGTCAGAGCCGAGGCGGGGCCGAGGGATTCAGGTCGATTCCTGGTGCAGAATTTCCATCAGGATGGAAAATGGGGGACGTACATCTATCGAGATTTGACTCTAGCCCGTCCGGTCGAAGAGAAGGCGGAATGGTCGGTGACCGAGAGAGAGCGGGGAGGCCTTGAGTGGGTGTGTCGTCCTCGGCCGGTCGGGGAGGTGTGTAAGGTCTTTGCGGCGGGGTTCGATGGGTCCTTTGCTGGCACGGACTCGGGCGGTCGGAGGGTCATGGGTCTCGTCGTTCGGGAGGAGCATGGGGTGGTGGCGAGCTTTGCGAGTCCAGAGTCGGATTTCGTCTGGGAGATCCCGAGTTGTTGGTCGTACGAGGAGGCGGCTGCCATTCCGTTCTCGTATGCAGTTGGGTTTGCGGCTTTTCAGCTCGCCTGTGGGGGGAGGTCGGATGCGCACGTGCTCTTGACTTCTTCGGAGCATCCGTTGGTGGGGTGCTTCGTTGCCATTGCCGAGTCTGTTCGGTGCAAGTTGGCGGTTCTGGTCGAGACCGTGGATTCGGAATGCTCTGGTTTCGTCGGGTATAGCGATCCGGACGCCGTGCCCTGGAAGAGCGTCGACGCCGTGTTCGTCATGGACGACGATTGGGACTGGGTCAAGGCGAGGAAGTCGGAGCTCACCGTGGTCGACCTTCGTCCGATCGTCTGCGAAGATCGACGGTCCTCGGCGGATCTGGCGGGATTCGCGAGTTATCATCGTCTGAGCCTCGATTTCATCGCCAGGTGTTCGGAGTTGCGAGCGAGGGTGTCCGAGGCGGTGAAGACGGGTATAAAATCGGGGGTTGTGAAACCCCTCCCTTTCCATGATGTCAATCCCGAAGCATTCAGCGCTGACGTCAGATTTCGCGGGGACGCAGTGATGTCGATTCGAAGTGTGGACGGAAGAACTCGAATCAAGGCCAGAAAGCAATTGCGATTCGAAAGCGAAGAGGTCGTGATCATCACGGGGGGATTGGGCGGGATGGGACTGGAGCTGGTCCAATTCCTCATCGATCACGGGGCTCAGAAGTTCCTGTTGACCTCCAGAAGAGGGGTCACCTCAGGTCGTCAAGGTCACAAGATCGGGACATGGCGTTCCCGAGGGATCCAGGTGAGGGTGTCGACGCTGGAAATCTCGACGGAGGAGCAGGCGAAGGCGCTGATCCAAGAAGGGAGCTCCATGGGGCATCTGGTCGGGATCTTCCACCTGGCCGGGACTCTACGGGACGGCCGGTTCGTCAAGGCCGGCAGGGGCGACTTCGAGAGCGTGGCGGGACCCAAGGTCGGGGCTTTGCAGTGCGTCGACCGAGTCTCGAGGGAATGGTGTCCGGGGCTCAAGTACTTCGTCGCTTTTTCGTCCGTCGTGGTCGGGGTCGGGAACGTGGGACAGACGGCTTACGGGATGGCCAATGGGGCCATGGAGGATGTCATTCGAGACAGGAGACGATCTGATTGTCCTGGTACGCTTCTGAAAGCTTTTCAAAAGAAACTCTTGTGAGCAGATTATTGTAAAGAAGTTTAATTTTCTCATTCCTCGAGTACAGCGACTACAAGTGGAACTTTAGATTTTTGTCTTTGTTATTTATGGGACAAATTTTAAAGGGAAAGTGGAGTCATTTGTCATACGACCAGTAATGTGATCCTAAAGGACCCCAAAGAAAACTCTGAATTCCTCTTACAATGCACTTTACAGTGAAAAACACGACGTAACGAAAACAACCTCATGCTTTTGACTGGGTCCCACAGGTTTGGCGATCGAATGGGGTCCGATAGCAGAAGTTGGAATGGCGTCCAAGATCCTGGCACGAACGAACAAAGTCTCCATCGCATCCTGTCGGGCCCAGTCCATTCACGCCAGTTGGGATCGGCTGGAAACTCTCCTCTTGGCTCAAGACGATCTTCCGTCGCCGATCGTGACCGTTGCCATCCTTGAAGCCTTCGAGCCGGAACCGGAGCCGGAGCACGTGGAACCGAAGGAGGAAAACCTGCTGGAGCGAGTGGCCAAGGTCCTGGACATGCCGCTCGAGACCCTCGACCCCAACCGGTCCCTGGCCGAGATGGGACTGGACTCCATGGCCAGCGTGCACATCGAGCAGATGTTCAAGCCGATGCATCTGAGTCTGGAGGAGATCGCGCAGCTCACTCTCAGGAAAGTGCAGGCTCTCATCTCCTCTTCTGCTTAATTGGTGGCAGTGTTCAATGTGTTTTAAAGGATTCTCGTTGAATTTGTGTTTTCGGAATATGAAGCGAATCGATGCGGCGCATGAGTGCGGGCTAGAAAAAATAAGCAAATAAATCCGAGGTAACACAGGTGGCCACGATGATATATTTATGGTGATTCTTGAATTTGAAGAAGGTTAAAGATTGGATTGAACTTTTTGAATTAGTTACAGTGTATTTTGAATTCATGGGAGTGTTTTATTATATATTTTTTTTAATTCCCAAGACTGCAGCGAAGGCACAGCTCGGCTCATAGAATACCATCACGTAATAAAGGATTGTATGGTACGTGTCTTTCCGTGTGTTTTTGTCTGCAGCTGCCAATTGGAATTGGCGAAGAAAAATGGAAGGGAAAAAATCACGCCCGATATTGTTCACATATGAGTCAATCAATTTCGGTGGGCAAAGCCGGTAAAATTCCACGAAGGTTGACCCATTCGAGCAAATTAGTTAACAGCAAATTAGCTAATTTAATAACTGATCCAGTGTTCTAGAACTTTCGCATGGACGTGGAGTATCTTTTCCCAGCGAGTTTGTTTGCCCTTCGATTCACGCTCGCTATGGTCGCGCCTTCCATTACCTTGGATAGTGATTAATTCATTTATTCCTTGCAAAATAGCAGATCGTATTTAAAGTGCGTCCCCATTGAAATACGTGACATATCCCACACGCACAGGGATATCCCAGGGATGTCCCTAACTGGATGACTTGTCCCCATGTCTTTATAGGATATCCTGAAGACATCTTCTTTCGGACGGTTTCGGACATCTCGTAAGGGATGTCTTCGGGACGTCTTTTAGACATCTTCAGTCGATATCTTAGAGATATCTCTTTCGGGATATCTTTAAGAAATCCTTAGTCGAATGCTTCTGGATATCCTGGAGGGGATATCTTGAAGATATCTTNTCGAATTCATCTACTTGATTTGTCCTGAGGACAAGTAAGGATTTTCGTACCATACATAAGGAAAACTGCCATCAGGGAAAGGTAAAAAAATTATCGGTCCGAATTTTAATTTATTCCTTTATATTCTCATTAATGATGTCTGATTGGCATGTTTGGATACAACTATATTGGTTGGAGGCCTGAGCCCATACTATTTGAAAGGCATAAGACTACGTCATATCATCCATGATCCCTCGTGTAAAAGTACTAAATTTCGTCCCTTGGAGATGTGTCTTAAGAATGGTATTTTCCTCCCCTTTAATCGTCACTCTTCAATCGATAAAGAACTTTAGATTAGGTGTTCCTATATAAAATATTGACATCTACGAAAGCAAAGGGTTCTCCTGTGCGATAGGAAATGAGTCCATATGGGTAGGAAGGCCCCGACAAGTACTACCTGAGACCATCGAACCCGGGACATCCAGTTAACCCTCTCGATGCCATCCTCATCCGTCACAATATGTATTTAAAAACTTCTCCCAAAATGTGTACCCCCAGGGCATGTACCTCTGGAGGCGGATTTTTTCTGAACTCTGCATCCCAGGAGGTGCATGTGTACGAAGTTTCAGAATTTCTAACCTTTCTAGAACATGGTTAGAATTAGCGTCAGTCAGTCACCATTGTCTATATACACTCAATGTC